CGGCAAGTCTCAGTGCCATTTAGCCTCTCCAAGAAGGGCAGAGCTCAAGAAGGGCTGTTGTCTGTAGCCGGTTTTAGAAAGTATGATATAACGACTAATTATATTTTAAAGGCATGCGTCTAGGAAGTAATAATACATGCTGGGATCTTGAGGGAATGAGCTTTCTTGCATGGCTAAAATTAGACAGCATTCGCTGGAGGCTCACCTTGTGTGTGCGCACATGCGTGTGCGTCTGTGTTTGTAGGGAGTGCTTCCTGACTGTACAATAATCTTCCTATCGATATAATAAACTCCAGCTTTCAGTTTTTCATGCTTTCCATTCTTGAGATTTTTGAGCAGTCAGGAGATGCCTACCCATGTATGGTCATGGCAATGGGGTTAGGAAACCCAAGTTCTAGCCCTGACTCTTCCCCTACTTCATGTTGTCTCTTTTCTCCCCCTCCTCTCTGTTTCAAACAGAGGGAATAAGGAAAAGAGAAAGTGGTAAGAGGCAAATGGACCTCCTTTAATTTTCCCTACCCTAAAGGAAGCTCTGTGAGTCAGGCCTTCTGCATTGTTTAGTCCCTCCCATTATACCTCAACTGCAGGCAAAAGTCTCCTGAAATTAGACTTCCCGGGAGTTTTTCTGATGTAAAAAACATCAGGCCCAGGCCCAGAGTGATGTAATCTTATCCTCAGGTCTAACTCTATTGTGTTCTTACATTCTCTAATTCACTTCTCTGCTCTCACATTTATTTATAGATATGGATGCCATTTCCAGAGCTGTGAGTTATATACTTTTTTCTCCTTAGAGAGCTGAGACCCTTGACTCCCATTAGATGTATAATACCAATGACAGCTGTGTTGTGTATGCGGCTCTCATGGCAACCAGGCGCAGCTGTCCGCCAGTGAAACCTGGCTCTGGTTCCTCCTGTGACCATTTAGTAAAGGATCCTTAAGAACAAAGAAGGTGGGAATGTTAGAGGGAGGCACAGAGCGGGTGACGAGGTTAGGGGCTGTGACTCTGAGCTAGGCCTTCTGGATGTTCCTGTTGGGAGACAGTAGGGCATGTCTTCTACAACAAGAAGGGCAGAAAAAATTGGGGTGGTTAATTGTTACCTCCCAGTATGCTTGCAAATGCAGGCTCCCACGGGGGAGACTTCAGGTGGCATCCTACCTGGGCTAGGGCGCTGTGACGGAAAGCCAACGAGGGGAGATGTGGTCAAGGTGAGCAGAGGGTCCCCTAGTCTTTAGTGGCACAGTGGAGAAGTCCCTGTAGCCTTCTGCTTCTCACAGCCAAGAACAAAGAATCGTGGCCACAGCTGAGGGAGATTCTATGCCAACATGTGATGAAGTAAGATGTGAAATAGTTTCTCTTGTTGGATCACTAAGAATGAGGAAACTTGTTTTTAAATGTCTCATAAACATGAAACCTCTCTCAGTCACCTGAGTTCTCGTCAGTTGGCACTCACTCTTCTGTGGATAGTCATTATTATAGAGCAAAACTAATTCATGTTCTCTCCCCCATACCCCAATCTGGTGCAATTATGGCTTTGAAGGAGTTATTAGACTTAGAACACACTTTTGGCCTTTTAAATAGTGGTTTCACTTATAGTCCTCCAAGCACAGATGTTAACAGAATAAGAATGAAGTGGCAAAGTTGACCGAGCTGGCTTATTAGGAAGCTCTGGGGGAGTTTTAAACCTTCTGTTCTCAAAGGGACGAATATGCTGCATGACTTCTTTTTTTTTTTTGAGACAGAGTCTCACTCTGTTGCCCACGGCTAGAGTGCCATGGCGTTAGCCTAGCTCAAAGCAACCTCAAACTCCTGGGCTCAAGTGAGCCTCCTGCCTCAGCCTCCCGAGTAGCTGGGACTATAGGCATGTGTCACTATGCCTGGCTACTTTTTTCTATATGTATTTTTACTTGTTCAGATAATTTATTTCTATTTTTAGTAGAGAAAAGGGGTCTCACTCTTGCTCAGGCTGGTTTCAAACTCCTGACCTTGAGTGATTCTCCCGCCTCGGCTTCCCAGAGTGCTAGGATTACAGACGTGGGTCACCATGCCCAGGCGGTTGCATGACTTCTGAAAGGAAAAGCCCACAAAGTGGCGTTTCTAGGCAGGCAGCACCTCTACTTCTCTGGGAAGAGCATGATTGTAAGCTGTGCTCCCTGGCACACGTGTGACTCTGGGCAGAGCCCGCTGACCTGTCCCTAGGACTCACTCCAGGCGAAGCAGGCCCCAGGCTGAGACTGCAAACCGTGCACAGCTCAACCTTTGCCTAACGTGGAAAACAGTGTCTGGCAGCTTTTTTTTTTGATGTGAGTATCAACATATTCTACACAGTGTTCTCTCATTCATGTAGTGTTGAAAAACATTACCCTTGAAAAAGAAGAACTCTATTATCAATCAGCTACAGGAAAAGCTGAGTTATAAAAAGCTAAATCAGTGACTTTACTGAAGACTTTCTCAAAAGCTTTTAATAGGTAGTATGAATTGTATGAAACCTTGTGCCGGCTTAGTTGAATGTGGGTGTCTATGTTATAAATTCAAACATATCCAGAACATATCCCACAGGATACATTTCCTAACGTGGGAAATCCTGATCTAATGGAAAGATTGTGGAAGTAGGAGTCAGAAGGGATGGTTTCTAGGTGGCAGGTAACAGCTTCGTATCTCCAGTGTCTGGGCAGATAAACACTGCAACATTGGAAGCAAAACCAAAGTTTAAAGTGGCGTTATCATTATTGTTCCAATGTGGCATTATCATTATTGCTCCTAACAATCCCTTTAGAATATCTTTCTGCCTATAAGCAAGAACTGGCTCCAAGCAAAGCCTCCAAGGCACTCAGATTTTCCTTGTCTACCCGGCAGCTGCAGGAAGCCATGCACTCCATACTCTCTGCCATTTGTCAGGGGACTCTGTGGGATCCACAGGTCCTGGGGTGCCTCCTGGCGAGGTGGAAGTCTCCGTTGGTTACAGGCTGAGCTGCACTCAGCGTGGCCAGTCCTGCCTGCTCCTCAAGAGGCCGTGTTAGGCATTTTGGACGGCCTAGGTTCAAAGCCGCACCAAGGGGCCTGCCAGTTTCTAGTAGGTGAAGCCAATGAATAGGGGACACCTCCCTTTCCTGACTGCCTTTCCCACCTTGCCAGGCTTGCAGCCCCCATCTTTCTCATTTGCTTTGCATTCTCTTGCTAATCCTGAAAAACTGCTGTTTAAAATCCTTTAGAAATGTACTCGTAAATATAAAAAAAAGGCTCTGTCTGCCCCAGTCCATCTGGCAGGCCTCGTGGTATAACCCTGCTGCAAATAAATCTGCCTGAGATGGTCCATGAGAGTATCGCTCAGTTGCCACCAAAGGGCACCTTCAGCTAAATCAGCAGCCATTCTTCTTCAGAATTGCTCAAAATCTTTTAATCCGTTCATTCACTTAGAAGGGCAGAGCTAAGAGGAGGTTGGGGCCTGGCACTTGACCTACCTGAGAGAGGAATAAGGAAGTCATTATTATCTTTGGTCTTTCGACATGATTTAACAATAACTATGGATATTTTGAAAGCCACAGTGCCACCTCTGGAATGCAAGGATAGGTAACAGGTCAGGGGGTATGGATGACACGAACACAAGCATCTGGTTCCATTTTATTAAAAACAAAACCAAACAAAATTTTGCAGTGAAATTTCCTGGAATTCAGAGTCCTCATTTTAAAACCTTCATAGTTGCAATAGATTTTTTTTAACCAGTACATAAGAACATGATTGCACTTATTTACATTATAGTCTTCTATATAACAAAAATAGCCATGTTGTACGACTGTTTCCAACCATCATCCTGGCTTCATCACTAGCCCAGCATGAGACAAACCGTTTATGCTCTCCAAGTACATAGAGAATAAAGCAAAATAAAAGTCTGTGTCTCCTAATAGAAGACAAATTCCTTTAAAGACAGTTTTTTTCCCCAAATTTCTTTGTATTTCAAGAGAGATATAAAGTGCTTTAAAAGGTATAGGGTAAGTGCCTGAGGTGGGGAAGAAGGAAAGAAATTTATACAGAAAAAAAAAAAACCTAAACAACTATATTGCCTTAACTAATCATCTAAATATGCACATGACTTAGTATAGAAAACAATGTTTGGGTAAAATGGCTACATAATCCACTACTACATTATTTCGGCAATTAAGAGCTAACAGGCCCAAATTACAAACTCCCCATGCAAATATCATCAGGAGTGACTTTTTTTTTGATTTTGGGTCAGATGGCAAATCAATCCAGGAAGCTTAGTCACATGATGTGTTATGGAAGAATGGGCAATACTGAGATTCGACCCTCATAGACATGACCTGCAGACTGGCCACAAAGACCTGCGGGGAACCTAAGTAAAATTTTACCCGTGACAGCAGTCATTTCACAAAAGAAAGCATTTTGTTGTAAGCATTTGTTTGTTTACAATAACAGGAATTTGTATCAAGAAGGAAAAAATAAAGCCATTGGATTTTCCTCTTGCTAGTAGGAAGATGCTAGAAATTGATTTATGATATCATGCCTGATTATTTCATAATTGTAAGTTCATTTTTTCTTGTAAGTTCATTCTTTAGAGATTTTTTTTTTTCATTGGGAAATAATAATGTGCTATACAAAGGGGTTTAAAACAAGTTGCCTTTTTTCACATTTTTAAACTGGCAATTGCTGGTTATGGTCTGCAGTCCACAAAACTGGGTGTCACATATGTACTGTCTGGGAGGCTCCCCTAGCAACTAGAATATTCATCCTCCCAGCTCACAAACATTTTAAAGAATACCAATTTATTTTTCAGAAAATGGATGGAATGTAACTTTTCACAAATACAAAATTACTTCAAGTTTTCTAAATATAAGGGACACCCCACTATAAAAATAACAGTCCCTCCCCTCCCCTACCCCTACAATTCTTTCTAATTATAAAATGGTATAACCACTTGGGATTACTAATGTGAAAGCCGGAAGTAAATATGTACATGTACAAAACACATCAGTATTTCACACCATTTACATTCATATGAAAGAAGTCCTTTTATTGATCTTCCTTTGCAATTTCACAAGAATAAAGTGGAGATAAGTTACAAAACAAGCAGTCCCTTGCTTATACCTTTGCACAAACATTTCAACCAGAGGCATCTTCTTTGCAAATAGAGCAACATTATACTCGAACATTTTGCAGGACTGCTGACAGAAGATCTTCTATGGGGTCTCCTTCAATTTTTCACTTTGTGACATTCTTTCCTCGTATGATAAATGTAGACCAAATTCTCAACTACTAAAGAATTTGTATGATGAAAGGCAAATAACTAGTATAGTTGTTGAGGAAATGGTGACCCAAGTCAAATTAATTTGCTGAAAGAATAACTGTGATTATTCCAGCAGAGGGCACTCTGCTCCTGGCAATAGCATCCTACTGATCAGTCAGCACCATAGATGCCAACAGACTGCAAAGTCCACGTGCTAGTTCTTCAACTGTTCTGCTATCAGTACAGGCAACAGTTTGGTATTGTCTTCAAAAGAGCAGGATATACTATAATTAGCTAGCTCTTCTACATGAAAATTCTTTGGCTATTTAAAATCTTCACATTCTCGAAGAGAACAATATTCTGAGTTCAATAAAGCGCTAGATTTATCTGAAACTTTTTAAGGAAAAGGGGACTAAATGCTAAATTTTAAAGATGATGTGGTACTAAGGCCATAATTTTTTTTTTTTTTTTATATTTCTGGATTTAGTAAGGTCAATCCACAGCCTACAAGAGAAAACCTCCTAAGGTTTCATGGTTCATTCAACCATGCAAACCACCTTCAGTTTTATTTATGAGAACATTAGGAGAAAATTTAACTAGTCAATGGAAGAAACATGTGTCCATTTGGAAGGTATTCAGTCTTTGGTTTATATAGCACACATGGTCCCCACATTTTCCCTGCTTCTCCAAGCCTGTCACTTCAGTAAGGATAACAGACCACAGATATTCTGCCAAGCAAAGGCTTTGGGTAATTCAGGTTGAGCTACTGCACTCCATGGATTTTCTCCCTCACTGTGTTCAGACCAACAGACCTCTTAAGAGATGTATATATTCCTGCCTTATCATTATCATCAACAAATATTTATCATGTGGCCACAGAGCCAATGGCTCCGTAGTAAGTGCAAATGTCAATAGTAGCACAGGATTAGAAAATCTTTGATCACTGAGATTCCTGGAAAAGCCACTTGATTATGAAGCACTCAAGACATGTAAACAGAGATGTTACTGACCTCAGCAGATTCTTGTAGAAGCAGGTTTTGCAATTAAAGGACTCGGTATTAAAGGTGCACATCTAGGATATGAACTCACTTCATTAGTCCTGGGACAATAATTTAGTGCCATCAAAAGGCTCAAAGTGGAAGAGTGTGGCTATCGATCTATGGGTCTTTAAAAATTAATGTTCCTATTACAAAGGGTCTGAGGTTGTGAGATGGGGAGAAAAGCAGGGAAAAGGAAGAGCTAAGTGATGATGAGAAACTCATAGCTGCTTCTCAGAATTTATTTTTCAGGCAATCCCAACCTTCTCTGTAATCATGAGTGTTTTAACTCATGAAGATTTAATTCCTTAAGCACATCCACACAAACACATAAACCCCGAAACCCAGGTCAGCTCTAAACCTAGGGATGAACATTTATTTAGGAGAAGCATTCGTGTTCTGTTAATCACAGAAGCTTTCCACCCCTGCTCTGACCAGAGATCCTGCCATCCTCTTTTCTGACTTCCTGCAGGGTAATATTCCTATTTCCTTTTAACCACCATCATCAGATGTGCTCATCAGTCCTGGCCATGGATGAAGGACCTTGGTGGCACAGAGCAATGCACAGAGAACCGTGTATCCTCTACCTTAGTAGTCTCTTTGTTAGTCTTTAGGAATTAGTGGCCCTTGGGTCACTGACAATGAGCAAGCTCTTGTGTTAAGATATTAAGAAGCATGAGTGGACATTAGGTACAATACACCCGAGTTTTTCTAAGAAATCCTAACCCTGGAAGAATGTGGTGAATGAGGAAGGTTGTAAATGTTGGGAGTGTAAGAAAATAGATTTAGACAGCATTCTGGAATTGTTAGCTTGCCATTATTTGCCTAGGAGAGACTTTTATGGCAAGGAAGCCCGAATTAAAAGGTAATAGCTATGGGTGGTTTGAGATGCAATTTGTGTTATAAGAAGTGAAACTGAGTATGATTCCATTAGGGAGGAACTTAACTGGCCTTTATAGTAAACTAGTTTTTCCCTCATCATAAGTGAAAACATAGATATTGCCACACAATAAAAAGAAGAAAAACACCAACAACAGTAATCACAGTAACTACAAATACAGAGCCACCAATGATTTTTGTCCTGAAGGTTATTTCAGAGTTTCTTGCAAGACTGGAATAAAAAGAAAGAAGGAAGAAAAGAGGGGAGGAGGAGAGAGAAAATAGGAAAAGAATTTGTATGTGTACACAAAGAAAGAGACAGGCAGGCAGAGGAAAATAGAGTTGGAGAGATACAGACATAAAAGAGAAAGGAATCTAAGTGAGAGAATACATAAAAATGCTACTGGAAATTGCTTCGGTCGTCCTAGTACCACTGAGGGCCCCTGGGCTGGGCCCCTGCTCCTAGAGGGAGTGACTCCTGGCCCAGATTTTCTGAAAAAGTTTTGATTCAATGAGATTTGTTTTCAGTCAAGGTGATGCATTCAATGGATAACCATTGAATTTTTATGCTCTGTAAAAATTTCCATCTAAACAATTCATAAATAAGAAAGAATCCCAGGTTAGACTACCTGTCATCATTTTTGGTTCTGAAAGTATGGTAGCCACACAGCTGTCAGGGCAGTGACAGAAATGGCCACCGGGCACTGTGATTTTTGATATGACCAAACCAAGGCCCATGAATGACCAGGATATCTCACCAGGATGAAGGTAAATGCTAAAAACAAAGCAAAACAATTTTTTTTTTAAAAAAGAAAACCTTTTTGGACAGGGATTTGCTTCCATGGTTATGATCATTACCCTGTGATGCCAAAATGGGTAGGTACCTTTGTCACTTTTAACTTTCTCCTGCTTCTCTCTCTCTCTCTACATAGATGACCAGAGTTTATGTTCCAGGGAGGTGAACATTGACTTAGAGCATAAGTTAATGTTCAGATGGTGGTTCCATGGTCAGGGGCCAGCTCTTCCAAAGGGACTAGACACACAGGAGGTAGCAATTCCTAAAGGTGACCCTAAGTTATTCTGAGTGAATGCTAATGCTCCTTTTCTAGGGGTGGTAGGTGGATGCTCACCTTGAGTACAAAGCTGGCTATCGGAGGTGGTCAGAATTCACTAAGTAGGGGCTGGGCAGTCATAAGCCCCAAAGATTTTTTCTTAGTAAGGCCACAGTAAGTTTTGTATTTGGAGTCAATATGTAATTTCTCACTCTTTCTTCCAAAATCCTTAAGTTTTAGCTACAGCTGTGGGGACAGCAGACACTGGGACTGGGAAAGGACCTTCTGCTGGCCACAAATAAGAAAGAGTTAAAGTAAAGTTGGATGACTTCAGTCTGGAATTCTCTCTGGCTCTTAAGTGCCATATATTAGCCTAAGGGTTTATCATAGAAGTGAGGGATATAATTTTGTTTCAGCACCAAATTGACAAGGTTTGTGTGACTTTTTAAAAAACAACTGGCCAGAAAAGTAAGATTAAATGATAATAGACATCAGTGATGTGGCTAGAAAGTTCAAGCAGACATTGCAGAAAGGGCTGCCTGAATCTTTATTCACTATAAAATAAACGGATCTCTGGGCCTTTCATTAGGCGACTTGGGTGGTGTCTGGTTCTCTCTGGAGGTAATTAAGGTTTTCACCTTTTTCTTTTGCAAGGGTCAGGGAATCTTGTGAGGCTACTGGAGAAGCTCTAGACCTGTGCTGTCCTATCAGTGGCCGCTAGCCACATATGGCTATTGAGTGCATGAGACATGGCTCATCTAGATCGAGATGTGTTGTGAGTGTAAAAAACACAATGGATGAGACTTAGTACAAGAAAAGAATGTAAAATATGTCATTAATACTTTTTACATTAATTATGTGTTGAAACAATAATATTAGGTTAAATAAAACATATGATTAAAATGACTTTATCTGTCTCTTTTTACTTTTTAAAAATGTGGCTAGTAGAAAATTAAGTATGTGACTTGCATTATATGTCTATCAGACAGTGCTGGTCTAGACCCTCGCTTTAGAAAAATGCACATCTGCAAATGCACATTCAATCTGCATCAGCATCTAGAGGGTTCGACACCCTTGACACTCATCTGTGGACCACTGGGTCTCCAGGTCAGAGTCTCTTTTGGGGGGAGGTGATGAAGAAGGCTATGGAGAAGGGCTGTTTCTCTTTCTTTTGAAATGAAAACTTTCTGCTTATACTTTTTAAAAAACTATCAAAGCCACAGGGAAATCTCTAGAAATAAACCTTTGGTAAGTAGAGAATGTCATAAGCTCATGGGATTTGCAGCAGTACCTCCTTGGGGTCAGATTCACAGGCCTCAGGTTGGCCTCTGGGACCCCTTATCATCCACACAGCATCCTGTAGGGCAGCTGTGACCAGGGCCTGCATTTGAGTCAAATCCTGATTTATCTGGTTATTGGCAAGAAGGAAAAACACTCATCAAACAGAGGACTATACAAGCCAAAGGGCGTTTTCTCTCTGGGTAGGAAATACAATTTATATTTCTTTTGCTGCTGAATTTTCTTTCTAATTCCACTGGACTTAGGTTAATACCAATAATTCCAAAATCTGTTTTGGGCAAAGCTGACTGAAGGAGGAGTAAGTAGTACAGACCTACACTGAGATCAAGAATCCCACATTGAGAGGTGGGATTTGAAGGTATCCAGAGATCGAAGACTCTGTGACTAACGGCAGTTTTTCAACAAGGCAGAACAAACCAACTCCTACCTGGAATTAAAACTTCAATCATTTAGATCTTCATCCGCAGCAACACAGGAGTGCCAAATCTCACAGGCTGTTATTACATGTTGTAAGTCAAATAACTCTGCCTCCCCAAGCCTCAGCCTGCTTGCCCATGTCACAGCTATCTGCAAAAAGTATATCCACCTAGCAAAATGCTAGTCAGTGCTGCTACAGCCAGGGAAGCTTTGGAAATTGTGTTGTTAAACTCTTCACCATATAGATGGAAAAGCTGAGAGCTAGCAAGGGTGTGGCTCACCCAGGACTCCTGGGTCAGAGGTCTCTTTATTCCTCCCTGCCTGCCTTCCCACACCTAGAGACTGGATCTCTTTACAGCAAGTGCCAGATCTTTCTGAAGGTGGTAATCATTTTCCTTTGCCTTGCTGTCTCCTTCTAAACCATCAGATGGGAAATTATTAAAGGCGGTAAAAAAAGAGCAACTAGTAGTGTTCTTTCTCCCTTGGCCCGCACGCCATGAATGAACAGGTGGTGAGCTTTTACAGCAGCACTGAACTCTGCTTTTGAATGAGTGTTAGCATCTTGAGGTGGAAAAGCTCTCGTCAAATATGTAAATACAATGCAGTGAGAAAAGCCTTTCTTTTGTAGTTAATCCAAGCAACAGCCTGGCCTTGGCCAACTGCTTAGAGATGATGAAGTGACCCTCTCTGATTGTTCAGAGAAGCTATTCATTACCTTAATCATCTGTGCATCTGGATAGTCTCAATGTATTACAAAATGGCCCACTGAAAAAATTGCACAAATAGTGCTATTTCAGAAAAAAATAGCACTTTTCTGAAAAAAAGTTACACAAAAAGAATAAAAACAGACACAGTTTTAAAAATGGCGGTGCACTTGAGTATTCATTGGATACCTCTTCTCCTTTCTCTCTTACTTGCTTTGTCTATCTCAGTCGGGATAAACTTGTTTCAGCAAATTCTCATGCTGCACTTTTTGGTTCAAATGATTTATCAAACCATACACCTCATTCCCCACCTGGTATCTGGACACACTTGGGAGCCCCAGGAAGCAAAGCCTTCCATGTGGTCTCGTGAGGTGTAACAGAAGTATTTTGAAATTAAGGTAAGATCTAGGTGCTACTGCAGCCCCCACTGTGTTTGCCACTGGGCTCAAAAATGACCGACCCGTTTTTAAAGCCCCCATCTCCTGCTGACCCACTAAGTGACAAAAATCTACTTTAGCCCAGGGAAAGCCAAGGCAACAGGCATTTTGTTTTTAATGGGAAGAATATGCAGTTTCTGGTTTTAAAACCAGCCCCACAGCCACCGAAGATTGGAGGCCCTGGAGAGTGCTTCCGAGTTCAGAATTTCAGCCAAAGACAGTTAGACCCAGATGAATTGAACTTCTTCCCTAGAGCTCCCGCCACACGTCACCAGGGCCCTTAACAGAGCCTGTCAAGCGGAAGCCGGTGTGGTGCTGCTGAAAATAATGAGCAGTGGCTCAGCAGATAGGAGCTTGGTGGTGGGGTCTTTGGCAGCTGGGATTTTCAAGACCCACTTAAAAGAATTTAGATTCTTAATGGAAGCTGGCCTTAGTCTGTTTCAGGGTGCGGAGGCACTTCTCAAAGTCATGCACACTTCATGCCAAGAGGTCAAGACCCTACCTCTCAGAGGTGGACTACAAACTGACCATAGGAGGAACTGGTGCTTCTAAACAGAAATCTATACAAAAGCTGGAGTGAACCAAAGGAAGAACAAAGGAGTGGCTATAAAGTCAATTACACATAGTCTTCAAACAGAAATTGCCAAAGAAATCAAACGACATTCCAAAAACAAGAACAATTAAGACCCGGAAAAAACTGAAATGAAACCGAGAAATACTAAAGGTGTCTTTTCTGTCTCTGTCGTAGGAGCTTCTGAAGCGTACGCCTGCAAGGACGCGGGAACCAGCTTTCACCCTCCGAGCTGCCAAGGCCGCGGACTGTCGCAGAGATGGAGAAACTGCATCCTGATTAACAAGACTTTGGATATTGCTTTTCGTTGTCATTCTTGAACGGAGCACCCTGGAGTTGCCAAGGTGCTCTGCAGGTGTGTGTGCCTGGTTCAAGTCCCAGCGTACTCGTCCCTTCCTTCCCCTTGGGTCCTACTATCTCTTTTTCTATATTCGCCATTTCAAGATTTCACCTCTTCGCAGTCTTGGTCAGTGGAAAGTTCTACATCAGACAGTCCAACTTCCATTGCCATAATCAACGAGATGTCAGAATCGCTGCTTACAGCCGGCTCCTGCTCACCTGGGAGGAGAAAGCAAAGGCCACAGTGAACACTGGGCTGTGACTTTAGGTTCTGGTTATCGCAATACAACTGTTTCTAATAACATTTTCTTCAAGGCCAAGAGGAGGTATTAGAAGAATTAGTTATTCTGTAAACACTCTAAAGTTTCATCTCACACTATACCCCAAAATAAATTCTAAATGGGTCAAAAATTTAAATGTAAGCAAAAGAAACTAATAAAGGTAGAGAAAATATATCATCTAAGCACATATCTAAGTAGGAAAATGTTATATTTAAGTAGGGGAAGAAATTCTATATAGAAAAGTAATTGAGCAATTCACAGAAGATTGGTTAAGTGTTCACAAAATTTTAAAAATGTTATGATAAAAACATGCCAAATAAAATCAAAAAGCATATATCAAACTAGGGAATTTTTTAAAATTTCACAAAGCATTGTATTCTTAACATATAGAAAGCTTTTAAATCAGTAAGAATAGTCCAACAGAAAAATGGGCAAAGGTTATCGTTATACAATTCATAGAGAGTGTAATATAAATGGGCATTAAATAAGGTAAAAATGAGATACTCCTTTTTGTCTATGTAACCTTTACTCTTTAAAACATATCATATTACAGTTAAGGGCACATTGAGGTAGGTATCTCGATACATTGTACATAGAACTGTGAAATTTTCACCCTGTAATTTCATTTCAGGAAGGTACAATAGAGAAATAATTAGAGATGCAAATATATTCATTTAAGCATTATTTATTTTAGTAAAATATTGCAAATAACTTAAAGACCAATAATAGAGAATATCTGAATAAACTATATGTTACTTCTAAAGGACAATCTTGATATAACCATTAAAGTTTTCAAAGAATTTGTAGTTACATGAGAAAATGTTCACAGTGTACTATTAAGTGAAAACAGAATACTCAAAGCTTTATAGCTCCATGATATTATGGAGAAAGCTAACTGGAAGCAAGGAAACCAAAAATGCTAATAAGATTTATCTCTAGTTTGGAGATTTATATTCATTTTCTTTAAAAATTTTTTTTAGTTCTCCCAAATATTCTGTAATGAACATATATCACTTACTCATTTGAGACATATTTATCATGTCACCATTTTATACTAAGGATTGTGCTAGGGGCTAGGGATATAGGTGAGAGCAAGACATCCTTGTCCTTAAGGGGGTCTTACTGTGTAGTGGGCAGGCAGACACAAACAACACAACGGTATAAGCACTAAGATGGAAAATGTACCAGGTATTACAGTGGCAGGTAAGAGGGCTACATAATTATATGCTGGGTGTAGTGTCTAAACTGTGTCCCAAAGGATAATCTTTTAGCCAGATGAGGAACAAAAAATAATCTTTTAAGCAATAGCATGCTATTGGGGCTCAGAAAGTGATACCTCAAAATATGGCGACATGCTGAACTGAAAAAAAACTTCAAGGTCTCTCTGATAACCTCCACCCCACACTGTCTCTTCCAAAGTATCAGGACCTACCAAAGAAGAAAACAATGACCTCTAGTCTCTTCCCTGAGTTTTCATCCACTGAACCCTTATCACAGGAAGGAAGACTGAAGGCTGTCAAGAAACCTAGACAAACTTGTCACAAACCACTGTCCACTCTGTGGGCCCAACAGACTTTGCCGCAGACCACTGGACATTCTTTTTGCCCTAGTAATCTCACTCATTGCCCCCCAACAGAATTCCTTTTCTCCCCTCTGCCCATAATCTGTTTTGCCAGGATCTGAGCCCCCATTCCTTCTGGAACCTCAAGATGGTACATAAGCTTCTGCAACCCACTGGGGGGTTGAGTCTTCATTTTGAAGGCTTCTGTGATCATATTAAATAAATTTGTATACCTTTTCTCCAATTAATCTCCCTTTTGCAAGTTGATTTTTTGGTAAATGGGAAGTTTTTCCTTTTGCCCCTGCAATGTACAGATAGCTGGAGGTGATAGAGAGCCCTGGCAGGTGGAACACTGGAGGGTTTTTAAATACGACTGGAATGCAGAGTCAAGCTAGGAAGTACAGACAGGAGAGGCTGGAGAGCTGAGCTGCATAAACCCGAAAGGTCTTGTACATTCTATTACTCTGCAGAAGAAACATGCAATTAAAAGACCAACAAAAACGTCTGAGCACTAAAGAATAATGATGGTTATATAATAATACTTTTGCTTGCCATGTAATGAAAATAAGTGCAAAAAATACTTTTGCTATGATAATCACTGATATAATTTTTTTCATGTTGTGGCCTAGTTAAGGGAAATACACAAGTTTCACAAAGGACAGTGAATTCCTAAGATGTTTTAAAGGAGACAAATAAAGAGAACTAACAGAGTTATGACCTGAAGAATCAGTCTTAGAGAAGTGGGGTATTTCACAGGGAAATATCCAATCTAACGACTAAGCTCTAATAAGTTTTCTAGGTCCCTAAATGCATGAAGTTCATTGTAATGTAATAGATCCAAGGCTAAAAGAAAACTTTGAAAGCAGCTCTAGAAAGATACAAGTAATTAGTATTTCAAAACAGGGACATTCAACAAGTAGGCAATGAAACCACTTAGAAAAACTTAGAAAAAAGGGAAACTGGATTTCCACTCACACTTCCCAACAAAATGCTTTCTAAACTGGCACCATCTATCTATGTATCTGCCATCTTTGCTTTGTGTGAATGTACTCCTTTTTTTTTTTTTTTTTTTTGAGACACAGTCTTACTCTGTTGCCCGGGCTAGAGTGCCATGGCGTCAACCTAGCTCACAGTAACCTTAGACTCCTGGGCTCAAGCAATCCTCCTGCCTCAGTCTCCTGAGTTGCTAGGACTACAGGTATATGCCATGCCCAGCTAATTTTTTCTATATGTATTTTTAGTTGTCCAGATAATTTCTTTCTATTTTTAGTAGAGACAGCGTCTTGCTCTTGCTCAGGCTGGTCTCGAACTCCTGAGATGAAGCAATCCTCCTGCCTCAGCCTCCCAGAGTGTAAGGATTATAGGTGTGAAGTGTATTCCTTTTCATTTATCCTCTTCTTCACAACCATTTGGTACCTTCAATCCCTGATCTTTGGGGAATTCTTGGATACCAATTGGGATGGCCCTTTTTCCCAGGGCTGCCCTGTGCTTTTCTCTGCAGGGCAGTGGCTTGCTATGGTGCATGGTGAGCAGTGAACCACTCCAGAGCTCGAGTCCGAGTGAGCAGTGGCCCCTGGACTGGGGCAGGATACAACCTGCATGTCCAGATGCAATCTGTCCTTCCAGTTTATGAAGTCACTGTTTTTTTTCCAGTTGCCCACATTTTCTTATAGTCTCTTTTTCCATTTTCCTTGCTCATATTGGTTTCTGTCTTTAAACAAAATGCCCTTTATTGTAGTTTTTGTAGGTTTCAGGAGAGACTAAGAGTAGTTTCATATGGTAGATTTACTATTTTTACTCAGTGCTCTTCCTAAACATCACTATTACAATGGGAACAAAATACATGTACTTAAAATTGTATTTATGAGGACTGGGAATCTGCCTTACTTTAGACTATATTCCAGTCTCTGCCATAAGTAATTACATGTATTACTTTGTATAAATTGCTTTTCTCCTTTAGGGCTAAAGTTCAATTGTCTAAAAAATGAGAATTTGGATCGGATGCATTAGAGTCCTTTCCAGTTGTTTATACATGTATGTGTTGATTCCAATATAGCACGGGGTCTCATATGTGGTTGGTTCTTGATAAATACTTATTTAATAGAATTGCCACTGAGAAACAAAGTTTCTTTTCTGCAAGCTTCAAATTTTTTTATTTTTCTAAAATATGTATATTTTTTAATTTATTATTTCAGAATATTATGGTGGTACAAATGAACGCCTGCGTATTGTGTATTTGGTACATGTATAGACACATAGGAGAATTCACTACTTGGAAGCATAACAAAAACTGAAACCTTTATTTTATTTTTTATTATTTTTTTGTACAGACAGAGTCTCACTATGTTGCACAGGCTGGTCTTGAACTCCTGGACTCTACTGACCCTTCCACCTCGGCCTCCCAAAGTGCTGGGATTACAGATGTGAGCACTGCACCCAGCCCCCAAAGCTGAAATCTTATTCCTGGAGATAAAAGATGAGAGCTCTACTCTAAATGAAGTTTAATCTCCACTTCTCTCTTTGTAAGGGCCCATCAACCAATTCAGCTCACAATTAAACTGGAAGTCAACAAGAGAGCTCATCATGGAGGGATTTTATGACTCATATGGATCTAGTAGGAGAGGAAGCACAGATAAAGAGCTGACTTAGTTACAGTTCTATAGAGACAGACCTCACTGCTGCAGGGGCAGCTTCTCACCTTCACTCCTGGCTTTGCAGTCACCAACCACAGCAGATTTCATGGATTCATTCTCAACTTGATGTTTTTTAAATGGGAATGTGGGCATTGAAAGAAAAAGGGGCCACAAGGACTGCTGCGACTATGGGCTGCTGGTCTACTTGGTCTACTTTGCAAATTAAGACTGTCCTGTATAGCTAAAGGCAAAGGTGAATTCAAATCAATAAAAATAGATTTGGAGCAATGGTTCAATATTTATGATGTAACCTTGCACCAACCTCATCATCTAATGATTTTCCATTTAAAACCTTCTTTTAAAAATAATCTGAAGACATTTGAAATTATCCTATGTCCTATGTTTTTAATTGAACTTGGGTTGATCCATAATTTAAAAAAAACAGGGTTTTATGCTTTAATCAAGGCAGATGTTTAACTCTGAAGCTAGAATAATATGAATGAAAACCTTGTCACTAAAACACTTAGAAGGTTCTCTGTAAGTGGTACTAATTAGGGAGTGTAAGTAGCTATTAACATATTAATAAATGTTCACTGAATTTTCCTTCTCCTCTGAAAAACCTAACAAAACCAATGCAAAAATAATATTGGTTCTTATTTAATACTCACAACAGCCCCTCATGTAGGTATTATAGTTTTTATTTTATAGATGAAAAATACTCTTGTTCTGCATTTTTTCCCAAAA